TCACTCCCCCTTGCACCCCCGCGCCTGCCTCACGCTCCACGCCGTCAACAGTTCTTTTTCATTCCTCCTCCCCGCTTCCTTCACTGCCACCACCACCCCTTTCCCTCCCTCGCTCCGTCACCGCCTCCCGCTGCACTCCGCAGCAGCAGCTTGCACTTGCGTCTCCAATCACCCCGTTCCTGGCGAGACGCCAACACTCTTTGTCCCGCACATCCCTCGCCCGCCAACCTTCCGGCCCTAGTCCAATTGTCCTTCACCTCCACTCTCTCCCCTCTGTCCGAAAACCCGCCTACCCCGATCACCCCTTCCAACACGCTCCCCGCGCCACCCTCCCCTCGCGCGGGGCCTCCCTTCAACCCCACAATGGACGACCTTATCGTCGCCCAGGTCGATTGGTATATGGGCCGCGTCAACCTCGCGTCTGACGTCTACCTCAAAGAGCGCATGGACGACGACCTGTGGGTCGATCTCTCCGTCATCCTGGACTTCCCCAAGATGATCCGTCTCGGCGTCCACGACAAAGTCTCCCTGGCCGCCTTGCTTCATGCACGCTCTTCAATCGTCCAAGTCGACCTAACCAACCATCGCATCCGCCCGGCCTGGGCCCGTCGTTCTACCTTGGTCATGCCCGCAATGCCCCCCGAGACTACCCTCGACGACGTCCTGGCCCTGCTCCAGAAGGACTCGCACAACCCGCAGGGCTTGCTTTCGGTCCAGCCCGCCGCGGAAGGTCTCTGGCTCGCCATTTTCGACTCCCCGACCGGTGCCCAAACCGCCCTCCCGCTCGTCAAGGGCAAGACTCTGCACTCGGTCAAGATGAATCCCGAGGTCCATGTTGACAACTTTTCCACCCAGCCCCACGATTCTTCTGCCACCGCCCAGCAGTCGCCCGTCCCTCCTTTTGCTCGCGCACAAAGCCCGGCTATCCCGCAGAGTCAGATCAGTCGCGCGCCGGTCTTCGTTCCGGCCCGCAACATCACTCCCAACGCCCGCGAACCATCGCAGTCGCAACCCCAATCCACTCAACCCTCGGGCGTTACCCCTGCTCTGGCGTACACTCCCGTCATAGGTCCCCCTATGCCCATGCCGGTTCCCGTCATGCACCACGCGCCGGATGGCATCCACGCACAGTATGCGTACGCTCCGAGCCCGGGCTATATCGCCCCGGGCTATGCCCCGCCGAATGTTCAAGTGTCGCGCCAGTTTATGGGACCTAGGGGCCTCGCCGCTGCTCCGGCCAGCTACATCATGGGCTATGCCCAGGGCTCCCATTCATTTGATCCCCCTGCGATGACCGTGGGTGCTCAGGGTGCCGCCGTGCAGCAGGTCCAGGTTCCGGTGGATGCCGCTGCTGCGGGTGAGCCCGGGAAAAGCGCCAACCCGGCAATCGGTACGACCGCCAATAGTCCTGATGGTGGTAAGGAACATGCCTCCAAGTCAGATACGACGCCTGCTAGTGCCGCCTCTTCGCTGGCCAAGGATGCCGGATCTACCGCTGATAGTACCAGTGACGCCGTGGGGGGTTATGTCCAGAACAAAACGGGACAATATCCGACAAATTCAGTTGGTGAACCGGGCGCTCGCGATTCAGCTCCGATCATGGTAGTCGGCAAGGGTCCTATGGATCCACACTACTTGCATCGTGGCGCAGTGATCGCCGATCCGAACGCAATTGGCCTTGCTCCGAGCATGGGCGGCCTGGGATATGCACCATACCCACGCGGGGTGGGTCGTGGGCAGGGTTCTCAGCGAGGAGATCGCCACAGCCAGAGAAACTATGGAGATGGTGGCCGTGGCGTTCCGCGCGGATCAGGAGGTAGTCCGACCGACCCATCTGGTCGCCCCCAGGCCAATCGGAAGGGGAAAAAGGCAAATCGTAGCAATAGCAGTCGTCATGCACACGGAGAGCGTCACAATGATACCAAGGGTGATGGGAAGGCGGAAGGGAATGGCTCACTGGCAAACCGCGAAGGTGGCCGCCCCAGGGAAGAAAAGCCCAAGCCTGAACCCAATTTTAATTCGATGCACTTTCCCCCACTACCCATGGCAAATGATACTGCGCCGACGGGCGCCGCGCAGGTTTCGCCTTCGAAGCCGAAGGAAGCCATGCCGGTTCAGACAGAGGTGCTCGAGCCTAGAGCCTTGACTACGAAAACCAGCACGGGGGATGCAAATGCCGGTTCTAAGATTCGTCCCGACAGCAAGGCTGATTCTCAAGATGCTGCCAGCTTAGATACAAACACATCAGCAGTCTCGGAAGTCAGGGACTCCGTCGCAGACTCACTACTCACAGAAGGAGGTGAGAAGGCTGAACCGGGTGTAAGTGGCGCCACGCATGAGACATCCAAAGCAAGTGCAAATGCCAATGTGCCGGAGGATCAGACTAAAGACTTACGACCGAGTAAGGCCGCCGAAATTGGCATCCCCGTTTCAAGCCAAGCCAATGGAGCTGGCATGTCGTATGCGGCTATTTTGCGATCCAAGAAACCGTCGCGTCCGAGCGTATCTATCCAACTGCCGAGAATGAGGTCAGATTCTTCGGCGAAGTCGGGAAATACGTTGAGCTCTGGAGACGGATCGGATGGAATTTTGGGTCAGATTGGCAAGGATCGAAATGCTCGACGGAGAAAGGCTACATCTCTCCGAATTGGGCAGACGGTAGAGACAGTGATGGAAGGAGATGGGAGTAATATCCAAAGTAGTAGTACGGACAAGTCAGCTAGCGAGCGTTCTAGCACAGCAAATGTGCAGCTCGGCACAAGAGACTTGGATACCGTCAAGGCCAAGGCCCACTCGGAAGCGGCGCGACCCAACTCTGTTTGGGCAAATAAGCCCAAGTCATTGTTTCAAGCTGCATCAGTCGTACCTGGAATACGATCCTCCCTAGGCAGTGCGGTCGGGGAAGTAAGAAAGGCAATTTCACCGATTTCGTTTCAGGAGGATGATGTTGGCGGTGAAAAGCTTGAGGGACAGAATCGTATGCTGGATGTGAATGGTCAAGGAGAGTCTGCGTCTGTTGAGACACAAGGGACGGCTGTGACAGATGTAAGCTCCAATGCCGAAGATATAGGTGACGTGAATCAAGTATCGCTGAGGAAGGGCCTTGCAAGTGGAGCGTCAGAACCGGAGAGCTCCACAAAGTCGAACAGAGTAGATCAAGCTGGGGCGAACGGGAAGCAAACTAATGCGAAAGGAGCCTGGGCTATGGGTGGGCCAAAGGGTTGGCCGAAGAACCATGGCAACGGAAACGGGGTTCTCGAGAGATCGAGTAGCACAGCAGATTCTTGAGGAACGCGGACTAACAACAAGTTGTCGGTCCCAGTCAATGCAGAGATGTTTGGGGGCAGAACGCGGAAGAGGTTTGGGCATATTCGAGGTATACAGATGGGATTTGAAATTCCACTCGACACTCACTAGATTTTGCGGACTTGTGCGAAGAACAGATGGGATATGGGACGTAGGCCGTGAAATCTCTGCGGCAATTGGGACGTGCGATGGGAGGAAGGTTGACGTAGGGTAGATGAGTTGTGTTTTTTTTTCTGAGGGCAGGCGGGGGACGCGGAGAGTGATCAGGAGTCGAGGAATAAGTGAGACGTCAGGCGGGTATTTTCAACATGAAGATTCAACAAGGCATGTAAGAGTAGTGAATTGGGAACCGACATGAAGGGATTCTTGCGTATGGAGCAGATGATTATGGAGGGTCTGTGATCGGGGAGGTGGCTTGTCTGTTATGTTGCACAGTTTGTGGTCGGGATCATGAGGCATCGTGCGAAGGGGTCGGGGAGTGGTTTAAGTGAACTGCTCAGTTCCGTCTTGGTACTGCTTGGAGAGTGGAATACACAACCGCCTTGGGTGCGGAAGTCGGTCTGTGGGGAAATGAAAGATACGTTCCGGAGGTGAAATTTGAGGGAGATTGGCGATGCTGGGTGTGTGTGTAGAAGACTCTGGATTCACGACTCGTCTAAATAAAGTAATCTTTAACAAGCAAGACAGCTGATTGTAGGGATGCACAGCCGCAGCGGAGCAAGTGCGATGCACATGTGTTGCAGCATGTAGGACTTAAACGGCCTGGTAGAAACAGCGGAGACATCTATTTCACACGTATCAAGTACGTAGGGAAAAATAGAGCGGCGAAGGGCACGGACGGCCGCGAAAGTAGACACGCGCCATCTGCCTCTCACGTGCGGCACACATCACACATCACACATCCAATAAAAATGACTGACACAGCGATCAATTGCCCTACCCTGTTTCCCCCCCTCCTCCCACAGCATCCCGCATCCCGTCTTCTCTCGACCACCCTCAGAGTACCAAGGGTAACAAGGGTAACTCCTGTGCATCTCCTTCCTTCTTTCCCCATGGCCGAGAGAGAAACTACCGCATCCCGTCCACGCTGTTACCAAGCACCCCCCTCCCTCTTCGTCCCTGTATAAGTAACCCCTCACCTGCCCGCACACTCTCCCGATGCAACCACACCTCTTACTTCACTCATCTCTACCACTCACCCCAACCCCGCCTCACAACCCGGAATGCAGCCCACCACCCCTCGCCCCACCGCTCTCATCATCGGCGGCAGCTCCGGCATCGGCCTGGCCTGCGCCCGTCTCGCTGTGCGCCGCGGCGTCTCCGTCATCCTCGCTTCCCGCACTGAGGCCCGTCTCGCCGACGCCCAGCGTCTTCTGCAGGAGCATGCCGCCAAGGGCGTTGTCGTCGACGTCTGCGTCGTCGACTTAGCCAACTGGGGCGACTTCACCAAATCTCTCATCGCACGCATTCAGAACATGCCCGACGACGCCAACATTGTCCATCTCATCAATGCCGCCGGCATCTTTGCCCCGAAGCCTTTCGTCGATTGCACGGAAGAAGACTACGATGTAAGCCCGCCTGAACCTCCTGCACCCACATCGCTCTTTCCACGATACGCCACCATACTCACAATTTCTTCTCCACCAACCCTATGCTTCTCTCGCGCAGTCGTACCAAGCCCTCAATCGCGCCACCTACTTCGCCACACAAGCCGTCGCCAAGCACATGATCTCGCGCGGGGCGGGCGGCAGCATCGTCAACATTGGCTCCATGTGGGCCAAGCAGAGCATCAAGGCCACGCCGAGCTCGGCCTACTCCATGGCCAAGGCCGCGCTGCACTCCCTCACCCAGACCCTCGCCCTCGAGCTCGCCGACCATCGCATCCGCGTCAACGCCGTCGCCCCGGCCGTCGTGCATACTCCCATTTACAAGGCCTTCATCGAAGAGGACAAGGTCGAGGATACCATGCGCTCCCTCGACTCCATGCATCCCATCGGCAGGGTCGGCGTGCCCGAGGACGTCGCCAATGCCGTCGACTTTTTATTGGATGAAGACAAGGCCAGCTGGGTTACCGGCGCCATTTGGGACGTGGATGGGGGGGTCATGGCGGGGAGAAACTAGCCTGCTGGAAGCCTATCGCTCGCTTGAGGTGGGGCCGTCGTGGCACCACGGTAGTCGATCCCAACCTGCTCATGATTTTGTCTAGTCCCCCGCGAATTCGCATTGCAGAAGAGCTAAGCTTTAGGGAGGTCATTCTTGCCCACGGAAGGTCCGTCTCTTCCGGGAGCACAGTGTGAGGCGCCGTTTTTCTGTCCCTGTACCTTGTCAGGAGCCTCATCAGCGACGTCCTCCCCCATTCCGTTAGCATCGAGCCCGTCCACATCCCCGTTCTGCAACCGGTCCTGTCGACGAGCAATCGGGACGAGCGAGTGATAATCCTTGTCCAACCACTTCAGAGTTTCTTCGAGAATAAACATTGTCTTTCCAATGGTATCTGTGTACGTCCCAGTTATTAGGGCGATGTTATCCTGACACGCCTGGACCCTTGCCAGACAAGTTTCCAATGCCCTGGCCTCCACCTTGAGGCGATACTTCTTCACCGCGCCATATGCCGTCAGAAATGGTCGCCACTCCACATTCGAGAGCCACCATGCCCTAGCCAGTTGCCCGTCGATGCAATCCACATCGTACACCTCACTGAGAGATTCCGCATGCCAGGGCCACGGCTGGTTCGGATCCGGGTCTGGAAACTCGAGGTCCTCAAAGCCCCTCCAGTCCATGCGCGGCAGCGCCAGCCCGCGCTCCCAGCGGTCCCACAGAACAAGCTCCTGCTGGCTCAAGCACTTGAGCGCGACCTTGGTGCCGTCGTTCCCCATGGCGACGGACAGTGCCTCGCCGCTCGCCAGCATGCCGTGCACGCGTTCGACAAAGCGGTCCTCTTCGGCCAGCGGCGCGTCCTCCGGTGGCAAGTGGAGCGTGACGCCCACAGCCGGACCGAACGACGTCGGGGGCAGCGGCTCTCGCGACTCGTCAGGCGCGGTCTGCGGGAACATCTTCTGCCACAGGCAAGGCTCATCGTCGCCGTCGTCCTCCGGCGAGATGTCGCCCGGGCTGAGCAGGACCGGCGACGATGGCGGGGGGGCAGCGAGCAGCTGGCGCGCGGGCGCCGCGGGGGGGGGCCGGCGTGGCGGCGGGCGCCGTCGCCGCCGCATTGACTGCACGTTCTTGCGCACGGGCGACACCGGGGGGAGAGCCAGTAGACGGCGCGCGGAGGAGGGCGGCGTGTTCTTGCGCGAGGTCGGCAGCAGCATCCGCGGCGCGCCGTGGCGAGGCCGGCGCTGGCTGGATGTCACGCGCGACGCTTCGCTGCGAGCTGCGGGGGCGTGCGCAGGCATGCCGGGGCTGGCGGAGAGGGTGCTTCAAGCTGGAGAGGTAATGGGACGGGGAGGATGGGAGGAGGGCGAGCGGGTTTTCTACGCTCGTGCTCGTGCGGATCAACGATGATGGCTCAGGAAGTGAAGTCAGTACTGTAGCCAAATCGCAGAAGTAGGCTCAAAAAGTACTTGCAATCTACTGTACAGTACAAAAAGGGCCCACCCATTCTTGAACAGTACCACCACCACTTGAACAAAATCAAAATATGAAAAAGTTATCCAGAAAAACGAAACTTGATCAATAAATACTGCATTACTCTCCATGACGCCTGAGAAAGCCTTTGTAACATGGCGGGAAATGCAAACAGCCCACTCTAAAGCACATATTCGAATTTGCCACCCTCGATAACCCCAGTGCCCATTGCCGCGTTGGATACAAATGCAAATTGAGTCCCCAGCATGCAATCTAGACTTGACACATATCCCGAGACTGACAATCATCGACATTCGCCAGTCTTCATGGCAAGAGCTAAAAGACTTTCTAAAGCTGAGAAATGCTTCCAAAAGGCCATCGTAGCTACTGAAAAGCACTATGTATCTCGCCGTCGTGCTGCATTAATTGCGCGTCTGCCTCTTTCCACTTTCCAATATCAGTTGCAACACAAAGACGATCCACCGCGATCCCGTTCATACCTCACCAACTCCGAAGAAAAGATCATTGTTGATCTAATTCAGCGTTATTCAGGCCGGGGTTTCCCGCTAAACCGCGAAGACATCAAAGATGCTGTTCAAATGGTAGTAAACTCTTTTCCACAGCACCACCAAAACACGCTTCCTTTCATAAACAATCGCCCCGGCAAGGCGTTTTTGCGAAACTTTTTGAGTCGCCATCAAGATGACATCAGCTTTCGCCGTACGACTAAGGAACTGGAGATTCGTTGGAGAGCCTGCAACGCCGAAACCTTGACAACTCATTTTTTATTCATCAAGAAAATCATCCAGGACAACAGTATAGACTCATTTCACATCGCAAATTTGGACGAAACAGGCATTTCCCGAAACAAAGACTGTCTAAAGTCTGACGAGCGCAAACATTTCGTCACAAGGTCATCTTTTGCGGTTCAGAGGTCCCCAGAATTCCGAAACATTGAGCGTATTACAATGATGCCTGTTATATTCGCCAGTGGGTATTTGGAGCGACCCCTTTTCGTTGTGAAAGGCAAGTCTCTAAATTTTAGAGTATCGAATTACGGAGATGGAGAATGCGTTGAAGCTGTTACCGATTGCCTTCCTAATGGCAGTTTAATTACCACACGTAAACATATCGCCGGAGTTGACTACAGCAGCTTCATGGAATGGGCAACATTTTTCGTGAAAGACAAATTTGAGCGCACAAGGAATGGTCAAAAAATGCTCCTACTTATGGATGGATATCGCAGTCATATGACGTTTCGTGTGTTGGATATGTTTGACAGAGCTGGTATTATTGCCTATGCATTGCCATCGCACACCAGTGGAGTGACACAGCCGTTAGATGTTGGCGTGTTCGGACCTTTCAAGATGCACTTGCGTAATCTGGTTGAGAGACTGTCATCTGCCGATAACAGTAACGTCTATGACGCATTTAATTTTTTGAAGCTGGTAACGAAAGCCTACACAATGGCCTTTACAAGAAGTAATATTGAGAAGGCATTTGGGAAATCGGGTATCTATCCTTTACACTGACGACCTTTATTGAACGTATCGCGCCCAATGTTTTATGAGGAACATACTAAGCTAATTAGCGTTGAGGATATATCGAAAATGATCGATAAGAAACGACAATTACAAAGAGATGGCATTGGATTGCAGCCGGTGGTATTACGTCGCAGTTTATTGGACACTGCAGTTGGTTTATGTTTAACATCTGGGGCGGCGCTGCAGAAAGCCAAGGAGAAAAATATTCTAGACAGTGCGCGAAGGGCAGTAAAGGAAAAAAAGGATGCGGTGAAGGTCGAACGTGAGACCGTGTTATATTCAAAGACAATGAAGGAACGTTTGAGAACTGAGAAACAGGCTCTGGCTCTGCGTGTCAATGCGTATGGCGTCCGTGATTTAGGCCCACGTCCCATGGCAGTTCGTCGTCAAGTAGCGAAGCGCATCGTCTGTCAGAAGAAGGCCGAAGCTAGAGCAAGGAAGGTAGAGGAGCAAATTGGTCTTGAAACTTTCCAGTGTCTATGAGCCAACGTCTTTGATAGCAAATGAAAAATGACGTCAGGTTAGCCCGTTTCGATAGCAATAGAGGTGGCGTGCATCCATCTGCGCTTGAAATGTTTTTCTGACGATAAAAATTTGCATGTCCAATTTGAATTGCCCAATTACTGTAGTGTTCAAGTTTGGTGTTGGTTTTTGCAGAAATGCCTTGTTTGAAGTGATGCTCTCACGAGAGGCGACCGCGTTTGCCGTAAATGAGGCGATTCGCCGTTTACAGCACAAGATTCGGGGACCCGTGCTCTGTTTAGCCATGTGAAAATCGGCTTCGGCAGATGTTTGGAAGCTGGTTTTTCGTTTATTTTCATAAAGTGTACAACTTCCGGGGGTACCAACTTGTACTACCCTCCAGAAAGGCTTAATTTGGTAAAGGGGCATAATTTGCGAAATTAGTGACTATACGCCTGCAGAAATGAGAAATGATTTCAGCACTTGTGAGAAAAAGACATTACACTGAAAATTCTTTTGCAGAATTCTGCAATGGATGTCAATTCAACATTCCCCATATCCCACTAGTTAGTGAGGAGCCGTGAGAAAGTGTTTGAGGACAGACGTCTTGCAAAATCGCGGGAACTTGACTTTTTTGACCATTGCGACCTCACACGAAAGCAATCTGCCTCCGCCCACCTCAAAAACCAACTCACACGCGCAATGGCGACTGTAGAGGAAGAGACGGGTTTGCCCGCGCCAAGCAGTGGCAAAGGCGATGAGCGTAAGGGGAGAAGTGGTATACACTCGAGGTTTTCCGTTCGAGAAGACCATATTACTACAGGAGCGATGGGAACGATAGCGCCAGCGACTCCGATGGTACTCCGCGGATGCGTACGAAGCGCAAGAAGATGATGGCTTCAGGTTTTCGAGGAGAGTTAGCGGCGTTTGGGGAACAACTGAAAGAGGGCGACTTGGCAAGATTTGAATTGGAACGCGAGCAGTTAGCCTTGCCACGCGAACGCTTCTGATCGCATTGACAGGGAGAGAGATAGAGACGAGCGTGCAGGAGAACTTGAGGCCTTGCAAAAGCTCGCGCTAGAGAAGCTTAAAGTCATGATGGAAGCTTTTGCCAGTAAGCGCGAATAAATATTTCTAAGCAAAGCAAAACCTAGGCTACGGTCATCGTACTATCGAGAAATGCTGACATGCGCGCCCGCAGGTGTCTTCCATTTCGATTGCGCTTCCTCCCGAGAAAAAATGGGTTATGCGGGCTGGGCCGGCGTGCGGCAGGGCCGCCGGTGAGAGGAGTCGGCGGAGATAGAGCGGTGCGCAACGCGGGTGCTTAAATTGCAACTGGAGGCGCTGGAAGGATGTTGCAGCAAGGGATGCAGCGGTAAGTCCGAAGGACTTGGGCGGGACGGCCTGAAACAGGCGGTCGAAGTCGTTGTTGAGCTTTGCGCGGCAGCGGCGTGTGTGGGAGACGTTTGCGGCGGGGA